ACTATTTTAGTTACAACACCTCAACTCTTGGAAAGGGCACCTGCTAATATGCTTCTTTTTTCTCAGGGTATATTTGTGTTGCCCATCAAGTACTCTGATAAATTCCACATCAGATATATATTTTTGGCAGTTTTGTAGGAACCTGCAATTTTTATTTCACCCAACATTTGTCTGGCCTCACATATACCAAAGGAAACACACTGGACCTGGTTTTTACTTTTATTATTTACATTTAATAAGGACTGTATTTGTTCTGGGGACATCTTTATTTGTGATCATCATGTCTCTGTGTGGTTAGCGCTCGCGTCTTACATTCCTGTGCGGCTGTGAAATTCCCTGCTTTTGAACAGTCTTATTCCTTCACAATGACCAACAGTGGTTTTACGATCTTCTTTCCATTTCAGATAACATATATCGTGTTACAGTGAGGTCAGCTCCTGTTTCAAAATCTTTACTTTAGACAAATGACAGGATTTGCAGTTTAAAGTGTTCTTGTCAAAAAGTGGAGCATTTGTTGAGCTCAACTCATTCATACATTTACTTTAAAAAGCAAACAAAAACAAGCTTAACAAGTTTCTCTCATTTACAGGCCAATCTAAAATTATTTTTTATGCAAAGATGTTAGAGAAGGATGTGGCTAAAAGCTTACAGCTGTTTTGGACAAATACAGCTTTCTGGATCATTTTCAGTCCGTCTTTAACAATCAAGCTCATTTAACTGGAACAGGTCTTCCTCCTTTGATCCAATGATGAAGAAGAATGTTCTGTTTTGTTTGACCTGACCTCTGCCCTTTGAACTGCTGACTACTACATGCGTGGTGCTTGTATCTGGGTCTGCTTTGGATTGGTTCTCCTTATATCTGTCTGAACAGTCCTTTCCTGTGTTGTTTCCCAGTACAGGTCCTCTTCCACCTCTCTTGCCTATAATGTGCCATAACGTTCCACCTGGGGGCTTTTATTGTATTTGTTAAATCTTCTCCCTTTTCAGCACATTTTGAGCACCTTTAAGAACTTTTTTTTTTATCACTGATATGATGATGTTTCTCCAGTCTAGAAAAAAAAGTGCTATATTAAAAAAAACAAAAAACAATTTAACTTCGACACCGATGCAGCCCGAGCAGATCCCTGTGATCAGAGTGAGAACTAAAGCTTTTACCACAGTGACTCTGGAACTCTTTCCCACTGAGCCTGTGACCTGTGGACTCATCTGTGCTGTTTTTTTACAAAGCAGCTAAAAAACAAAAACTTTTGGGGGAAACCTTTTGTCCCTTTTTGTTTTTTACTGTTTTTGTTCTGAAGCTCTTTGTGATATTTATCTTGGAAAGAATTATATAAATAAAAATGTTCTTAACTAAATGAAAAAGCTGGTCTTGATTGTTCCATCCCTGCATGTGTAAAGTTTGGTTAAAAAGTCCTTGTTGTAATGCAGCTTTGCCAAACAAGGTTTGTCTATTCCCACTCTGCGTCAGTCAAGTTCTTGCATTTCTTGATTCAGATTGCAGTAAATAAATACTTAGAAGACTGGGGTTAGGCC